CAATTAAAAAAAGTAACAGCATAAGTCTTGGGCAGATTTTCCATAAAATGATCTTTAGAACTAATTTGTACCGAGCCCATATATTCTTAGCATGCTTTGTTGTATGTGCTGTGAGACGTTTAAGATATGTGTTGTAGTGGCCATTCAACAATATTATTAAAATTATTTTTGCTGTGTTCCACATTAGAAATATAGTCTTCTTTGGTTCTCTAAGTTATCTAAATAGGGAACTCAAAAACATTGGCTAAATATTTAAGATTTGTTTTTATTATTGTTCTGTAATTGAACAGTAATAAGCTGCATTTCCTTTCCATTCTTATATCAGGATTATAATTTTTTTTAGGATTTAAATCCACAAAATTTTCTGAATTCTCACAATTATCAGCATGATTGGAAATAAAACACGTGTCCCAATGCACCATTTCAGCAGATGATGATGCAGGTCAGAATGGTGGTCCATTGGTGTTTGGCTTTGCAGCTACCCAGAACTGAGTGTGACACCCATGCTAATTGCAGCAGAACAGCACAGTGGGACCGTTGGCTCCCGTGGAGGCCTGACCTGGAACATTGCTGCTCGTCTGGTGCTCAAATTGTTATCTAAAAATAACTCTTCATTGCTCTAATTCTTTTATCATTATCTTGCCTGGGTCAAATAATAGTAAGAGATATATATTTTTAAGTGCATGTGATGTTTAGCTTTGTTGCCAGCAGTGAGATTTTACTGTATCTAAGATGTCTTTCTTTTTTTTCTTTTTTTTTTATAGACATAATTTTTTTTTTCAATTACTAAGCAACCATTTCTAAAAACTAAATGGCTGGATGTCACTTCATACATACAAAAGACAGATTAGAGTAAACGGTTGCTTTACTTTCTCCTTTATTTGATCTATAGTTGAGGACTGGGACAGTTTCCAGGCAATTTTGGATCACACGTATAAGATGCACTTCAAGTCTGAACCCAGCCTACATCCTGTGCTCATGTCAGAAGCATCGGTGAGTTTGCTGCTGCTTAATGTTTAATATAATTGCCATCTTTAATAGGTACTGTAATCAAACCATATTAATGTACTTTCAGCACAAGTTGGCAGCAACTTGGATTTCTGACATGCCCTTTGCTTTAGGCTCTGGAAAAATATTGTGGGACGGGGATTAAAGTATAAAATTAGCTTCCTGTGCTGGTGCTCGTCTCTAACTCTGGTGGTCTTCATTTGTTTAAGGGTGTCTGACAGCCACCATTTATTGCAAGTGAGTAACTGCATCTGTTTTGTTTGCAGTGGAACACGCGGGCAAAACGAGAGAAGCTTACAGAGTTGATGTTTGAGCATTACAACATTCCTGCCTTCTTCCTCTGTAAATCAGCTGTACTGTCTGCGTATCCTTTACAGTTTTTTTTTCATCCAGTAAAGAGAACAGTTTGACAGAAACGACTGGGCTAATTTGATGATGAACCTTTCTCTTCAGTTGTTTATTTACAAAATGGTACTATAACTTCTGTTCCTGCACCTTGAATCCCTTTCCTGGTCCCTTAACTTTGAATATCCCAGCTTTGCCAATGGGCGGTCCACAGGTCTGGTCCTGGACAGCGGAGCTACACACACAACAGCAATCCCTGTGCATGATGGCTATGTCCTTCAGCAAGGTAAAGAATGGTTTCACATGTAACCCTAGGACTAAGTTATAATACAAGAGAAATGGAAAAAAAATGGTTGGAATCTAAAGCTGAACCATGTGGATTATGTCTCTTCTTGGCAACTTGATGCCATCTGCTGGTTGCAGCTCGTCTCGGTCATGTGCTTCTCTTGCATTTATGCAATTTCTGCAGTTTGTGGTAATGAGTTTTTGTGACGCAGGATTCTTTGTTTGGAAATGTACTGACATTTCCAAACAAAACCATGGTCTTATATATTGTTCATATTCTTACAGGTTGACTCCTTAAATAATTAAACCTCAGCATTTGTCTATGAAACTTGATTAAATTATTGTAGTACTTTTGGAAAAGTAGTCCTCAATCCTTTACACACTTTGGTACGATCCAGCAACACAAAATGTGAATACATTTATGGTGCGATAACACCAAACGCGTTACGTGCGCCAAAAAGCATCTGTCAAACGCTCCAAACAGTTCAAATTGCGCTGGGCTAGGTGCTCAAAACGTGCTTGGTGTGAACGCACCATTAATCTGTGCGAATGAACACTCAAAAGTGAAAACTTTGATCCTTTCATTTGGTGCAAATTGTGAACAAACACTGTAGCTAAACTCAACAAAGACGCTGGAAATGGCCATTGGTGTATTATATAAACACTATAGATTAACTATCAAAATTGAATTCCTAACTTTCCCAACGTAAAGCTAATTTTGTACTGTCTTTTTTTTTGTTTGTTTGTTTTTGACAGGCATTGTGAAGTCACCTTTGGCTGGTGATTTCATGAGCATGCAGTGTCGGGAGTTGTTTCAAGAGTTAAGTGTGGAGATAATCCCTCCCTACATGATTGCATCAAAGGTAAACACTTTGTTCATTTTAAATCTGCTGGAAGTTTAATTTGACACATTTTTAAGTAGTTATGTTTGCCGTTTGCTGCCTGCTGTGTGAATATGTCACAGGATCCAGTGCGGGAGGGATCCCCGGCCAGCTGGAAGAAAAAGGAGAAACTACCTCAAGTCACTCGGTCTTGGCACAACTACATGTGTAATGTAAGGAATGAGTTCATTTGTTTTGCAGCACTTTCAGGATTTCTGTGGAATGCCAGAATTAAATGTGTCATTTTCTGTGCTCTGTTTATCGCAGTGTGTAATCCAGGATTTCCAGGCGTCTGTCCTGCAGGTGTCAGACTCTCCATACGATGAACAGTGAGTTACTAGCAAATATTCTTGGAGTTCAAAAATGATTTTCTCTTCTCAAAATCTAATTGAAAATTTACTTATTTTTAGCAATGATTCCTGTCTTTGTTCTACAGCTCACAGTAGATATGTTGATTTTTGTTATCTGAACGACTCAATCTTTCCTTTTTCATCAGAGTTGCTGCTCAGATGCCCACAGTCCATTATGAACTCCCTAATGGCTACAACTGTGACTTTGGTGCGGAGAGACTAAAGATCCCAGAGGGACTGTTTGACCCCTCTAATGCCAAAGTTGGTGTTAAGTTTGTCGGGCGACAATAAACTAAATGTACTTTTAAATTAACAGTTATCAGTGGTATAAAAACAAAAACAAAACGCAGTGAGCTTATTGGTACCTTGAATAAAAAAAATAAGTGTTCAGATATTTTTATTATTGCATAATTCGCCTTTTTTGTAAATAAAAGCAATGCATAATCTGCTCTCTTTTAGGGCCTGTCTGGAAACACCATGTTAGGAGTTGGCCACGTGGTGACGACCAGTGTAGGAATGTGTGACATTGACATTCGACCGGTGAGTAGTGGACAGCTGTTAAAGATTTATTGCACCTAAAATATATATATATATTTTTTTATTGCAGGACAAGTTTTTGAGTTAGTCTGCAATTCCCAAATCAAAGAAACGAGCAATAGCAGGTTATTTTAATTAATATAACAAATAAGAGACTAACTTTGAGTCTTCCTCCTTTGCACACTATTTCTACATCATAGAGTTGTTATCATGGCCCGTTAGTTCATTAGAAAATGACTGAATATTTGAGTTTCACTGGTTTGTCCAGATGAAAATCAGCCGATTTGGATCAGAAGCTATTCTCTGTGATGAGGATAACGATTGGCTCCGAGTTTAACATTTGTGATTATTGACGTGTATCCAAGGGTCTGTACGGCAGTGTGGTGGTGACGGGAGGAAACACACTCATCCAGGGCTTCACTGACCGTTTGAACAGAGAACTTTCCCAGAAAACCCCTCCAGTAAGAAACAGTCATCATTTGTAAACGGCTTTGAATTTATCCCAAGTTGTGACTTGGGATAAATTCAGTTTAGCTGCATTATGTTAAATGCTACATTTCCCCTTGTTTGTAATTTACAGAGCATGAGACTGAAGCTGATTGCCAACAACACTACGGTGGAGCGCCGGTTCAGTGCGTGGATAGGAGGCTCCATCCTGGCATCACTGGTAAGACCATACAGAGGCTCTGTAGTACTGTGAGCCCCTCACATGATAGAACCTATTATGTATGTATATTGCATATTTGACAGCATGTTTATTGTTCTCCAGGGAACTTTCCAGCAGATGTGGATCTCAAAACAGGAATATGAAGAAGGAGGAAAGCAGTGTGTGGACAGAAAGTGTCCTTGATTTGACATCCAGTCTCAACCTTCCCTTCTCCATCTTCTTCTAGCTCAACATCATGAGGAGTCAACCTCTGACCCAGACTCAGGAACAGTCAGCTCTCATTTTGTATGATTTGTTTTTAAATCTGAGTTGGTCGCTTGTCAGGATCTTAAAAAAAAAAAAAAGAAAGAAAAAAAAAATCAACTCAAGATCCTCTTTTTTAAATAGCCAAAACAGACTGTCGCTTTCTCTGTTACCTGCTGATGGAAACTTTGGGTCATCAAAAAGTTGTTTCCGATTACACTGGGGAGAAATGAGTAATTAGGGTTGTACAGGATCCCAGCAGAAAACTGGTAAGATGTGTGACGAGGGTCTTTATTTGGAGGAAGCATCATTTAGCAGGATGTGAATGTGTTTTGTGATTGTCATTTCGTGTACTTGGTAAATTCATAAGCAGTTGCCGGTCAGTTATTGCCCCTGGTTACTCATATTTCAACTAAAAATCTGTATTTAATTTTCATTTTTACTTGTCATTGGCTACATTTGACCTTTGAAAAATAAAGTCAATTTTGTTATGATTAGACAAATAGTCATTTTAAAAGTAATTCTGAGTTTGTGTTAGTTACAAGATGCCCAAAAGATGGCTAGGGAGGATGGTTTATTAGACAGTAACAAAACAGAACACATTTCCAATCGAGAAAACATAGTTTTATCTTGTAAAACCAAATAACAGCTGGACAAGAATTTGCTCAAATTTCAGTAGACTGTGTGAGCTGATTCAGGCAGCCGAGTTGTAGCAAACTCAAAAAAGAACAGATCCCTTATTCAGGAAGATGGAAGCTTCATCTGGGGAAATCTCTCCTTTAATTTGGCCAAAGTTTTCCTCTTTAAGTTGACTTTCCTGGCCCTTTCTCGAAGGAATCTCTCAATGCGCAACCTGCCAGAAACAAACAAAACAAAAAAAACCCATAATGCAACATCTTTACATATTAAAATTAAAGGAACAAAACTGCACTGCAGCATATGAATGTTCTTACCTTATATGAGGTTGGACAAAATGGGGCGTGTAGAACTTCTTGCGCTCGTGTCTTTTATTCATGTACCAGGGAATTGTGTATTCTTTGAACCGATACCTGGAGGTTAAAAAGGACTATTTACTGAGAGTAAAAGTTTCTTGCCTTTAATGTGAGACAGGCGAAACCCAAAGTTGCACGTTGTGTACAAAAAAAATCTATTGGGATCAGAGTCCATCAAGTTGCTTAAGTTATAAATTCACAGAAACGTTCCATACCAGTATTCATATCCGAACACATTCCTCCTCCAGTCTCCTGGCCGGCCTTTCTCCTGTCCCGTCTGCAGCAGACGCAGTGCAGTCTCCCGTTCTCTCACCACTGTGTCCAGCCTGACCATTGACCGTTCAATCTGTGAAGACACAGACGTATTCCCTTTAGCCTGGGTTTTTATTTCCCCATCAACAATAATCTGTAAATATAAACTACACATTAGAAAGAATCCCTCTGAAGTGCGGGAGCTGGAACTGTCACTTCAGTGTCGCACCAACCTTCTTCATCCGTTCAGGACTCGGCATCTGAAGACTTTGTCTTTTTGCTTCCTGCGCAAGTGTCAGCAGCATGTTTCTTTCCTTCAGCAACACATACCTGAGACAAAACTGAGGCGTTAGAAGCAATGGTAAATGCAGAACTTCTTTTTTTTTATTATTTATTTAACACCATTCAAGTGATGAGACAATTCAAAGTGCCTTACATAAAAAGACAAGAAAAATGTCTAGCAAAATCTCTTCAAGGTGAACAACTAAATAAAGACGAGTAACAGCATGACATCAAAACAATGTATTAGATTTTAATATTTTCCAGATTTGTCACAGTCTTGACATTGCTCACCAGAGTTTGTGTAAGTCCTCGTTGCTCTTTGTTCTCAGCTGTTTCGCTGTCCACGGAGCTCCTGTAATGAAACAAATGACCTCCAACATTTAAAATACATTATGCATGATCATGAACATTGTGTAGCTACTAATCTGCAATTTTTGACAAATCCTAACATCTGCTGAGAGCCGTACTGAATCACTTTAGCATGTAATAGTTATTTTCTGACTAAAAATCACTTAGATATTTAAACAAAATTTAAACAACTCTCACACAACTTTTAATAAATGTAATGTTTTACCAGACTTCACATTGGGCTCTCCCCAGTTCTCAGGCTGATCAAAGAACTCTTCCAACCCTCTTCTGCTGACGGTCGTGTGCAAAGCTCGACGCTGACCCACAAAGCTGATGGGAGTGATCCAAGAAGAGGCGATCAGGGAGGATTTTTCACTGAAGGGGAAAGAAAATATCTAACACATGCATTGACATTTATACATATAATTTCATCTTACTCAAGAATGTAATTAATTAAATGTTCTAAACTCTCAAATTGCTCTATTGGGATGTCAAGCCTCCAAATCAGTAAAGAAAAAACAGACTGCAGAACATTTACCTCCTTGAGCTTATAGGAGTTTAAGGAATCATGAACCAACATGATACTGAATTTGTTAAGGACACCAAACTGGACTGGATTAAAAAACACGGTCAGCTTTGATATTAAAGAAACAACAGCCAGACCTGTTAGACTGGGACTGGAAATAAAGATTTTTCAGAGGATACATTATCTTCATTATTGATGTTTTTTGTTTGTAAAAGTACTAAATTTCCTTTTTAAAGGAAATTGACGCATTTCGCCCCGACTGATCAGTAAATCAAACACTGAAAATATATTTTTTTCTGTTCAATAAATGTATCTCAAATAAGACCTTCACCATCAATAGAAACATAAACTTAAAATACTTTGATGCAATTTGAATTTTGTTAATAATCTGATAAAGACTACAGGCACATGTTTTGATGCAGAGATTAAGATAATCTTGTAATTGCTTCATTTTCATTAAACTGAAAGAACCTCAAGCACTTTTTACATATTGTACTTCATTCACTAGTTTAAGGTTACAGATGCTGAGGTTGAGCTCATAGGCCAGAAAGTGAAGTGCACTGCCGCCGATTTGAAGGGACGATGGATCTGTGGTAGTTTAACCAGACGAGGACAAGAAAATGCCACGTCCGCTGCTACACTGTCCTACCTTAGAAGATTGTTCTGGCATCTTTTCAGATTTACAGCACAGTGTTGAACGCTTATCGCTGGAGATATCCTGAAGACGCTCTGAAACCGTTTGCACAGAGTCAAAACACGTCCTAACGATGAGGACGACGCCATGTTTTATCTAGAATTACCCAACATGCATTTTGTGTAAAAAGATATATATTTGTTCAAAAATAACATTTTCTTTATTTTGAAATTATCGGAACACCTTTAAAGTTAATGGCATAATAATAACATGAAATTTGACAAGATAAATATAAATTTAGTGTGTGTTACATTTTCTTGAACCAATCACAGCGCGGGTTGTTGAACTGTCCCTACAGCAGCTATGGTGGGCATGAGCCTTCTCAGGTCGGCTGCTGCCTTTGCAGCCAGGTTAGGTCCTCTGAAAGCTGGGAATAATGCTGCCAATATACTCGCTCGAACCATCCCACGGACAAATAAAGGTGAGAGCTTCTCTGCTGGTTCGGACAGCTCAGCTTTCGACTCTAAAATCGGCTCCTTTCTGTTATGACCTTGCGCCGGAGCTTATTAGCATGCTAACATCAGCTAACTGGTAGCGTTCGCCCTGCTGTCAACAAAGAGGAAACAACTCCAAGTTTAATGATGAAAACTATATGTTTGATCTTGTAATTGCATATTTGTTGACCATATGAGAATAATGAGTAGTACGATATTTTTTCCTCTATACGTTTATTTATATCCTATAGAGATAGAAGTTAAGTGTTATTTAGCATAAATGGATGAAGGACACATGATTTAGCAATTTGTTAGACTGTATTTTAATATATTGGAGTACCATATTAGAGATTTAAGTGTACACATTGTGCACTTTACAAGGTACTTCTATAAAGTTCTTATTTTGTAATTAAGCTCTTAAAACGAATTTATCTCAGATGTATTATATAGTTTGCTTACTAACAATAACATGCATCACTATTGTAAGGATAAGAAAACCTTGTTTTTGGTTGGGCCTTAATGTGGCCTTGGAGGACACAATTTCCATAAAAAAAATGTGAAGTCATAAGTTTGACAGAAAAAATAACTTAAATTTATGAACACACGATTCGCTATTTTCAAAAGTATGAATGGTAGATTCTATTTTCCTATATCAGATTGACATTTCCAGAGTGCAGACTTGATAAAATTATGTTGCAGCTTTTTCCTCATTGTTAAGGTGAATCTGCAGGAGATGTCATTCTGATGCTGGGTTACAGCCCACATCTACGAAAATATGCACATTTCTTTAATTTATCACTTAAATGTTAGAGGACTTCTGCTGTTTTTGTTGCAAATTTCTGGCTTTATATCGACAGAAAATATGTTGCTTTTAATATTACAAAGCTATGTTTGAAATCATGTAAAATTGTCATTTCTAACCTTTCGACATCAGAGAATATCTACTTTTTATTTTCTTGTAAATGTGTGAAAGTAATCTCAAAATATTTTGGTAGAAATGTATTTCACTGTGACCATATTATTTTTTTTTCTTTGTTTTTGATGGCTGCAATACTCCGTTGTATGAAATAGTTACATTTTAAATGTATTTGAAATGAACAAATATTCTGTTTGATCTCATAAAACACAATTGTAAATATTCCATTGGCAGAGACTTTATTGTGAAAGCAACTGTTGCTCGTTTTTTCAGTGGCGACCCGTTGGGGCCATGGAAAGAAGATGTTTGTGGTCAAGCCAACCAACTATTACGACAGGAGATTTTTGCATTTATTGGTATGTATCATAACAAAATTCAATTTACAGAGCTTAAGTCCTTTTCAAAAATAGGGAAGCAGATAGCTACAGTATATGAGGCAAAAATTAAGCGGTAACCCTTGTATCTCCAGAAAAACATTTAGTGAGAAGGGTCTTGATTGCTTCTTTAGTTCTGTTTGTGGCAGACCGAAAACTGTAAAAGTTTTCAGTTTTTCATTTTTCTGTTTGTTAATCTTGCAGCGATATTACATCCTGCTGACTGGTATTCCAGTGGCTGTGTTGGTCACGGCTGTGAATATCTTCATTGGTAAGTACACATGTTCTTGGTGTTTTAAAGTATTTCATTTTAATGTGTCCTTTTGGTCCATGATATAATTTTAGGAAAAGTTAAGTAAATTATTTATGAATGATTCTAAGTTTTTTCTTTTGCTTTATTAGGTGAGGCAGAGCTTGCTGAGATTCCTGAAGGCTATGAACCTGAGCATTGGGAATATTACAAGGTGTGCTCCTTCTTTCATTTTGCCATTGCTTTGTCACAGCTCTTAAACATTGTTGTCAGGATAATTGAGTTCTGGTTTGTCATATATTTACGTATTGAGGTCACAGCACATACGTTGCTTTGCATTTGGCCGATTAATGTTTATTTTACAGATAGTTTCAATTGGAGTGGTGTTGCCCCCACACACAGACGTTATGATATTCCACAAAGAAGAGTTTAAGTTTTTTCTCCACTTGTACATGCATTTTTTTCCTAATTTTTTTGAAGTTCTGAATTAGTAATAATGGTCCACAACAAAATCAAACAAAAACTAATACTGGTTGTAAAAACTCTTGAAGAATTTCTAGTCAAGCAGACAAATTGGTCTTTTGAAAGCAATAAGTTTTTTAGGATTATTTATTGGTTCTTTTCATTTCAGCACCCCATCACCAGGTGGATTGTACGGAACATTTATGATTCCCCGGTGAAGGACTACGAAAAAGTGTTGGCTGCAATCCAAATTGAACAGGAAAAGGGTGACATGAGGTGATTATCAGAGTTTCGGTCACTTGTTTAAGACCAGAATGTTGAAGTCTGTAAGGGAAACTAAAATGTGCAAATAGTAAGTACAAATAGGCCTTTCACGATAACAAATTTTGCTGAGCGATTGTCTAAAGAATTATTGTGATAAACGATAATATTGTTTCAAGACCTTTTGACACTGATTTAATGGAAATGACGTAATAATGCATGCGGTTTCCTGCCACAGATACATACATTTTATTTTCAAAAGAACACATAACACTGGAACTGATGAACTAAATAAACAAAACAACCAAAAACAAAAATAAAATGGATTCTCAGTCTCCATTAACAAAAAAAACGTACTTTAATAAAAACTAAACAACAGAAAGCCAAAGTGGAAATAAATACTGCATTCAACCAAAAGAGTGCAGATTATGAAGTCTGTATACTATATTGCCCTTCAGTAATCTCTAGATTTAAATAGAGAAGATGGGCACATCCGACTACCTAATGCAATAGTTCACACTACACGATTTTTTGCCCCCATTTCCCCCTTACGATAATCTTAGAACATGGGCCGATCTAAGATTGTCGCTGGTGATTTCGTAACCGATCATCCAGTAGTGTGATGTAGATTGTTGTGGCCGATCTAAATCAGGAGTTTTCCCCGACTGGGAGCTTAACGCTGAACGTGACAGGTAGCCAATCAGAAAGCGCGGATTCTACTGAGGGGAAATTACAGAGGGGAATCCAAAACAGCTGACATGGCGCAACCTAAAATCCAGCGGACATTGGAGATGATATGTGGAAACAACATTAATATTTATTCAACGTTTCGTGCAAAGAATATAGAAATTAAAAGGGGAGGAGTTGGAGCCAAATTGCTACCGCAGTTGATAAACCCTGTAAGTTTTCAGCTGTTCTTCGTTAACGTGACATAAATAGGTTATAATGATTTTCATTCAGTCAGGACTTTACACTGACTCTAGCCACACGCATCACAGGTAGATTCTAGTAAAGCATTGATTAATGCCTTATTTTAAAATGAGTTAACTGGACTTGTAGCCATTATTTTGTGCCCATGTGGCTGGACACCACAAGGCACGACGAACCCGATCGAACCGTTATACCTAGGATTTCTGTCGGCTAATGGTGGTCTCTCATGTTTTGAAAATGGGCCGACAACTCTTTTAGTGTGCACTGGACACTAAAAAATAGGAAGGGTCAGTGAAGAACACCGGAGTTGAGCCTTTTTCATTCAGTGTCATCAACAGAAAGAAAAAACGGCAGGAAGAGACGAAAAAGCCGATAATTAAAATGAGGTCGATGGGTTTAATTTATCGTGCGATTAATTGATTTATCGTTTATCGTGACAGGCCTAAGTACAAGTGTCTGACTTACATGTGTCAGAATGGAACCGATTAAAGGAGTGAGATTTCAAGAGATTCTCAAAGCTGAAACCCAAAGTCGCTTGAAAGCAATTTTTGAGCTGTTTAACTTAGAATAACCTGAAAACAGTCTAAATGGAGAATACTTATCAGGCGAGGGTGGAGCTTTTAAGAAGAAAAAAGATGGTATGTCTGAGTCCATATGCCTGCGTTTGGACCTTGCAGTTAATATTATTACTGATTTTGAATTTGTCTGAGCCATGCATTCACAGTGGAGTTTAGTTGGTCCCTTGAATCCTCAGTAAATGAGCTCCAGTTGGATAGATGTTAATACGAGAAGAAACTGGAGGTCTGGACCCATGTATCTATGTTTTCTGAGGGATTGTTGGGTCTACACTGCTGTTGCACTCCTGTCTTATAGGACGTAAATGCTGCATCCTCTAAGAGAAGCAGGTATTGTTCCTGCTGACTTGTGTTAGTTTAGAGACATGGCATCATCAGGATTACAGTGACTAAGTTCAATAGTCGTAGATGTACTTTTCTCAAATTCACAGCTTGTTTCTTGACTACTGTTTTGTAACCCTGAACAGACTGATGCAGCTGGAGGTTCGTCGGCAGATGAGACATCACGGAGACGGCCCCTGGTTCCATGTGCCGACGCCTGACAAGGGGCTGATTGACAACAGCCCCAAGTCATCACCTGACAATTAACGAACGGTGTTAGCGGTACACGTGGTCATCAGTCCGACTGTTTGTAAATTTTTCCCTTGTTGATTAAATAAAGTATCTTTATGTGGTCTAATAGCCAGTTGTTGGGTGCAATTACTGAACATCTGACATTAAAAGTTAATTCTTCAGTTTTATCACAATCCAGAAACATAAAGTGAATTGACTCCACCACATCAGAGTGGATTGCCATCTATTGGTTTCGCTTTGTGACAGTGTCCCTGTACAAGAGGTAATTCTTACTTCACGAAGGTATTAAATATTTACTGCCTTATTTTGTTATTTTTCAAGTCATTTTGGTTGTTCTATTTCTACAGCTCAAATTTACCTGAGGGTATTTAAAGTAATTTAGATTTTGTCCATCCATCTCAAATAATTTCATTCAAACAAATGAATGACATTGATGAATGCATTCTAGATAAATTAGAATGCATTCATTGAGATAAATTGTTACATCAATTTCCGTCACTTGATTTAATGCTCTCATGTCTGCAATAAAGCACAACGTGTTTTATTGCAAGAGTTTCTCAGAAGGAGAGGCTAATAGTCATAAACGCAAGAATATCCACTACATAAACGTGCATACTGATGATATATCCACTGAACCAGATTCTCCATTGGGTGGCAGAGCTCCGTAGACTGACTACTGCCTGACAAATAAAAGGTTAATAAATACATGTGGATATGAACCACAATTTATTTATATTTATTCGTACAATAAAAGAAAAACTCCATATTCAATTTATTGCTTTCTTTTTAACCCTTATGTATTTTCTTTTATTTTTCTGTTAATTTAAATGATGGAAGAAGGAAAAAATTGTGTTTCTGGGTCCTCCCTCAGAGGTGGGAGTGGTCCTTTCGGTAAATGTGAAAGGACGTCACTACAGTCAACAGCAGCGCTGTAATTTCTGCGCAGGTCCATGCTTATGGGGAAAAAAACACGCACAAAAAACAACAAAAGAGCAGCTCTTTACCCTCGATGCCCTTACCCTCAGACTCCGAGGCCAGCCTCCACCCCTCCGTGTCATTTTATTTTTACGTTTCCAGCGTCACATCCCCCCTGGCCTGGCCGGAGGAATGTAGAGACGGAGGGGCTTTAAAAATAGCATCCTCCGCTCTGACTGCGCCGCTCCGGAGGCTCCGCAGCACTCTGCAGGGAGAAGCAGGAATGCGAAGATGGCTGCAGACCTGGGAGAGCTGCTGGTCCCCTTCATGCCCACCATCAGAGTCCCCAAAACAGGAGACAGAGTCTACAAAAGCGAGTGCGCCTTCTCCTTCGACTCCCCCGTAAGTGTGCCCGACCTGTCAGACACCCACACACGCAGCCTGCACACACCGGGACATTGAGGGGCATGAGGGGGAGGAAAGGTGCGTAGCAGGCGGACTGAACATCACACGTGTTTCGGCTGTAATCTGGTGTGTTTGTAGACGTGAAGGAAAACACTGTTTTCATCTTTGGAGAGAGATGCAGGCTTGTTATTTTTCTTTTCACGTCCAAATCACCTCCCAAAAGCTTTCATTGTCGTTTTTAGAAACACTACACTTGAAGTAAGCTATTTGATACTTGTAATGAGGGTAATAATTCCTCTAAACTACACCTTTTGTTTAAAACGGACTGGCTGTTCAGTGTGATATGTGGACTGTTTAGCCTTTTGAATCATTTTAAAACAAATCACTATTTGGCTCAAAATGTGAGGGCTTAATAAATTTTTTAAAAACCTATATCTTTCTGAAACCCAGATTTGTTTTTATGCCTAGGAGTAACTAGTAGAGCCAATATTTAAATGTTTTAAACTAAGTTATTTAGACCAGTCCTCATTTATTATTTTCACAATTGGTGGCAGAATCAAAATTTGCAAAGTTTACGTTTGTAAATGTCAGAATATATTGACGGAAGCATAGATTTGATACTTTGTGTGTGTGTTTCTAAAGCGTCTGTGGTGAACCTGAATGTAGCGTTCCCTTTGCTCCTAGAGCTTTCCTACACGCCTATCTGGATTGAAACCGTTTTTAAAGGTGACTCAGCTGTCTGGAGTTCATCATGCTGGCCTGAAGACCGTTTTATTTTTATCCTGCACTGTTGAGGCTCATATGTCACTTTGAACCACTTAAAGGTTTAACACTGGGGTTTATAAAGCCCATACACTGATTACAGATTTGAGGTTAGTTTATGAAGGAGGTGTTTTCCATGTGCTTGGTCTCTAGAGCCCAGGTGTGAGGTGTAGGAGTGCTTTTTTTCCTTTGCTTCTTTTTAAAGGCACGTTTAAAACTAAACCAGAGTTTTTAGCTGCAACCTATAAAAAACATGCTCTGTTTTTTTTTTTTTTGCATAAAACTTAAGATTGCAAAGATTTTTCTTTCTTTCTTTGACTTGCACATAATTGAAGATGAGTAGGTCCTTTTTCACATACCTACAGCAAAATTATTTGCTTCAGAAGCGTATTTTGCAAATAAAAGAAATATTTCCAGAATGGATTACTGGCTGATCGGCAGGCTTTGTGGTTATAATATAGATGATTTATCTAATTTTCTTCCTACATATTAGTTGCTATTTCTATAGCTTGTGCTGATTTTGAAAAAAAAAAAAAAAAAAGCATCTGAAGATGGATTCTTGGTTTAAGTTTTCCTCTCTGGTGTCCTAACGTGGAAGTGGGTGAAATCTCAAATACTGATTTGATTTTACTTCCATTAATGCAGCAAGATGTAATTTCTTTTGTGTGGTCAGAGTAACCCAACTATATGCTGATAAATAAAAAAAATATGCACAGCTAAAGAATATGATATAACTTAATATGCTGATCAAAACAACAACAAATTCTTACACTTCATGTGAAGCCGCACAGACTGTCCTCTTATCTGGCCTTGTTGGTTCCTCAGCTTGTGCTGCAGCTGATTGTTATTGTTTCCTTTTGTGTGCAGGAGTCTGAGGGAGGCCTGTATGTGTGTATGAACACATTCCTGGGCTTCGGACGGGAACATGTGGAGAGACATTATCGCAAAACAGGACAGAGTGTTTACATGCACCTCAAACGACATGTTAAAGAGGTATGTTGTGTCCCCTGCCTTGTAGATTTCAATAATTCTGTTTGGGGAAAAAAAAAACAGATTTTCAATATATACTATATATAAAAGATGACAAACCATTTGAACACCATAGACAATCAAGAAAAGTCAAATACAACCACTACACAAACTATGATGTTTTCAGTGTCTCTGTTATTTATTTATTTATTTATTTATTTATTTATTTATTTATTTTTGTCATATTTATCATATTCAAGAATAGTTTTCAATTTAGTTTTTAAATTACTATTTTTTATTTTAAAGAGAAAAATGTCTAAATAAAAAATAAATGATTATCTTCATCAAGAAGACTAAGTTTAGAAACTGTTGTTCTTCCAACAGTTTCTGAAATAAATTGTCTACACTGTCAATTTATTTAAATGTTTTTATATCTGCATAAATATGGAGAAACTTTATTTCCGTTCCCATTTTCCATATTTTTTATTTTATTTTTTTGCAGTATTTCAATAAATATGTTGCTGTAACCCTTGTGCTTTATACATAAATAAGTAAAAAATGCACATATTATGTATCCACGTACATACATGCCTGGATACATACAATAAATTACCTCCCAATGGTGGAAATATATGTTTACAAAAATATGTTTTTAGGGGTTTTAAGAAAAAATGTCCAAATAAGCATGTTCTATTTATATCATTAAACACATTTTAAGTAATACCTTGAACAATGTTGCTTTATTGTTTCAAACAATAAACACAAACTGTAAGACTTATTATGATTCCATTTTTGTTTAGATGTCATCTGCGCACATCTTTTAGGTTTATGGTGGTTTTAAAACCGACAGTGTCGCAGTTTGAGTTTTTGGTTTTGTTGACTACAACTAGCAAGTCGATTCTTCTTAAGAACAGCAAACTCAAACAAGCTCCTCTTTTTGCTTCAAGCTGGTGGTGTGTTTCCTCTCTGCCGCTAATTGCTATCAAATCAGCTCTGCTTTGAAAAGATCTGCTATTTCCATGCCTGGATCTGACCACAAACAGCTGCTGCACATTCTGCAGGCTCCTGTGTCTATGCTGTTTTTCTTTCATGGTGGTTCCCTTGATGCTGTGGGTGTCAATATTTCCAGTTTCTCAACTTTGTCTGGTCAGATTTCTATAAAACTAGTCAAATTGGACGTAAATCTGCTTGGTGGGACTAAGGCTGCATATTTATGTTTTCATGAAAATGTTTTCTTTTTTTTTAATCTGTTAGGTTTTTTTTTTTTTTTTTAATCTGTTAGGTTTTTTTTTTTTTTTTTAAAGTTGCTGCTTTGCTGTCACACTAGAAATGCCATTTGCAGTTAAGGGTAAACCCAGATAAATAATGTTTAAAGGTCTGGCAATTTTCCCTTCACTTATAAACTCATCTGGCCATCAAATATCCAACTACTTCTAAGACAGTAGCAACAGACTAGATCTTATTCAGGGGAGCATATAAGTTCATCTTTGCTTTAGTTTAAAAAAAAATACATCCAAGTGGATGCTACATGTATTTTTTTTTGTATGTATATATAATGTTGTTACTACTTATTTCTTACAGAAAACCACAGGTGCTGCCGGAGGAGCCATCCCCAGGCGAAGAAATGGAAAAGTGTTTCTAGGTAGGTTATTTTCACTGGAGTGACGTACTTCTACATTGCAATGTGAAAATCTTAGAAAAAATGTTAAATAAATCTATTAGCATGCTGAGACAAGCAAATGGAAAATGAAAAGATTGACAATTTAGCTCAGCAGTTAAATTGTCATCAGCTGCTGAGGACAATTTAACTTATTCTGTTCTTCAGTGTTTATTTGGTTTTGCACATTGTTGTTGTTTTTTATTATTATCCTTGACCTTTTGGCAGCATAACTGGTCTGTTTCTATCTGAGGAAGGCCCAGTTTTTAGAAGGTCACTGCTGTTTTCAAATTTTTGCTAACTGTCTTGAATTTGCCTATGTGTGTTTGCGCGTGAATGTGTGTTTGTTTAGAATCAGTCAGCTTAAGGTTTGTTACAATTTCCAAAGTAATTTATATTTGCTCAATGTCAAGTTAATGACAGAGGGAATATTATTATTTTTTATAACGTTTTAACAAAAACATAGTTACAAACACTGGGTTTGCACAATGTGGGAAAGCCCTATTGATCTGACTTTGTATGTTTCTGATTTTAATGATGATTTCACTAGTCTGGATATAAAAAGGATGAACATTTGTGAAAGTATTTTAAGGCAACTCCTCAAACACACGGCTTCCTTGTGTGAAATCATGGGAAGAAAGAAATGTAAAAAGAACAAAACAGACAAGGTATCAGAAGAATTGTTTCACAAATCTCATTTAAGCTTTTTTTTTTTTTTCATTTTTTGTGTCATTATCCTTAACTGATTTTTGTTTTTTCAGCCACATTAAAATCAGAATGTATATATATATATATATATATATATATATATATATATATATATATATATATATATATATATATACTATATCTGGTTTACCAGATATAGTATATATCTGGTATTTTACTACTGGTTCAGCAGTAGTAAAATGTTTTGTGCCACAGCGACTCTGTGTAAACTGGCTCAGTTTAAATGTTTAAGGCTTACATGGACCTTCAGATCACATTTCTTTTTATTATTATTATTGTTAATGAATGATATTGTTGAGGTTATGGTGTATGCGCGTAGGTGATTATTGTATGTTCATGAAAAAGGAACCAGTCAGATTGTGAAAAATGCTACAGAAGGCAAAGAAAGATGTATACCAGCAATCACCTGCTGCTGGCACTTTGCATAAATTGGTACTTAGCATTAGCACAAAGTTGTTGTTTTCTATCAGGCATATGCTCAAAGTGAGCGTGTACTTTGCTTTTGCTGCTGGGTTCAGAGACAAGTCCAGACTCTGCTTATAAGCTTCTTATGAGACATGCATAATAAAAGAGCAGTCAATAACTGATTGACATTACTTTCTGCGTCAGTCTAAAGAAGTAGTTCTCTGCAGACACCATTTCTGGTTCCACAACTGGGAAGCCTCTGTTAATTGGAAACATCCCAAAGAACCATTAAAACAAGTCAACTCAGATTTGCTTTAGCCTTTCAGGAACAGCTCGGGCTTAATGATGTGTGTCTTTCAGAAGATCGTTAAAAGTATTGCAGCTTCTGTCTGATTACAGTTTTCTCATTGAACCGGTGATTTTTTTAATGTCAGTAGGATAATTAGAGACATCTCTGTCTGCTTGGGAAGTTCATCCACTACAACTTTGTCAAAGTTTGTTTGTTGTCAGCCAGCTGCCGTTCTAACCAGCCTCAATCATAACCATTAGATATTTCCACTGACGAGCCCTCTCCACCAACCCCTGTCCTCTAATAATAGCCTATTTATTTGTATATGTGGTTGCTAACTGGTCTAAATCAAAGCTTGGCCTATCCACTCCTCCTCCTCCTCTCCTTCTCTTCCTTCGGGTTGGGGAGGGGTGACAAGTTTATCCTGGGCGCCTCCTCCAATCATGTGCCGGCCTCTCAGCTGCTGCCACCTGTCAGTGTCCTGCTGAGGCTGACACACATCAAACTGAAGCGATGACGCATCTCGCCAAAGCCCAGGTGTCTGGCTTCCTCCAGCCTCTCTGTTTGAGGAATTCCCTCCTCTTGCTCCATTTTCCATTCATATTCCTGTTTTCTACTTATATTTTCCACCTCAGGTTAATTGCCATGCGTTTCTTCTCCTGTCTGATCATCGTCTGCCGTCTTATTCTTTGTGACATTTCTCGCTGTCCCTTTAAGATCTTTGACCCGGTTCGTCGTATCCATACCGGTTCTGTGATCTAATCAGACAGCTGGCTGCAAACATCATGTGTTTCCATGTAACCAAACAGTTGCCATGATATTATTAATAATAGTAGTAACGTCAGAGAAAAGGTTTTTATTGATGAAATATGTTATTGATCAAACAAATTTATAAAATAATTTGTAGATTATTGGGTAAAAAAAGTTCAAAGAAAGCATTTTGTTTTGCGGTCAATAATAAAATAAGTCTGAGCTGCTTAAAAATGTTCAATGATTTTATTTGTTTTTGTTTTTTTTTTTTAAATCAATTTGGTTTTTATATGAAACTTTGCGTCACTTCAGAATTAAGATAACTGTATTTGTAAATTCAAGCAAGAAAAAAAAAACTGTTTTAGTAAGAAAATGTCATCGCAATTTTCTTCATATTGTACAGCAGGGATGTCGAACTTATTCCACATGTCCTGATTCAATATTGATTGAATCCTTTAACCCAAGCTGTCAAAATGTTAATAACCATCCGAATTTGATGAGTGCTTCTTAAAATTAAAAAATATTGAATGTCTTTTCACGTTGATGTAATTTGGCAGCACCCTGGTAAAAAACTGCTTTGATGTGATTGATAAAATAATGTTTAAGCACACAACTGTTTTTGGTGTAGACGTCCACATATAAAGCTATGGTGGTCCAGATTTGGACCCTGCACCTTGAGTTTGACACCTGTGTTGTGCAGGGTTCTACTTATAGATCTAATAGTGATGCTTAAATATCATTCTCTGACTATTTAAATTTTGCTTAATGGTTTAAATTTGTGATCACTCTTACACCTAATAATCCTACTTCCTCCCTTAAAGATTTAGAGCTAAACCGAGATTTTAACGGAGAGGACTACGAGTATGAGGATGAGGCAAAGCTCGTCATTTTTCCAGACCACTTCGAGATCCCTTTACCAAATATTGAGGAGCTGCCCGCTCTGGTCAGTGAGTTGGTTCTGTGTGTTTCTGTGCATGTTGGAGGGGAAACGTCCGCTTGGTGGTTCCCTGGCTTCAGGACAGGCAGGTCTACTAATTAAAAGAAAGGGATAGTTAGCGGTTTTGAAATGAATTGTAAAACAACCGTGTCTGACTTACCTGCAGCTTTTGAATGTTTTTGGTTGAATGAGGTGTTCCCTTTTCATTAGATTTTGACCCGCAAGCCACCAAAAAAATAATTACATAAATAAAAGAAACAAGCATTTGTCTTGAAAAATGTTTACTTGAAATCTGATGCTTGCCTCAATGTAAATTGAGATTTCTTTGAGAGATCTGTATTAACTAACAAAACATGGTTTAAATCATTTGATGACTAAGTTGTCACTGTAAGGAAAAGCCTATAATAGCCAAAACAATCATTTTTATTAAACACATAATCTCCAGATGCCAAACTTGTTTTTGAGGACCTTAAATTTTGATTTTTCAGATTACATTCATGTGATTTTTCCAAATGAGATTAAGGTGTCTGCTGAATCTGTTACCTTTTAGATTCAATAAAACAAATAATTTTGACAAAACAGCATCTAGTTATGTTTTCAGTAAAACAGGATTCTGGGGAACCAGAAGGTGTACATGTTGATACTTTCATTTTT